GACATGTTCGTACGAACCCTTTGTACGAACAAAAGTAGGAGAAATTTAGGAGAAGAATACGAACATGTTCTTGCATGAGGCCCAATGAGAGGTTCTGTTGATGATTAGTTACTGAATGTTTGTCTAGCAGCTCCTGGCTGATACTGATCCTCTTACATTTTATGAAAGCATCAAAGTCAGTCTTAGTTTTTCACTCCACAGTTGTAATATTTTGTATTTACTTTGGTTTAACCATAATGACTGTTGTAAGGCAGCAAGGCAGGTTAGAGGTTTAGCACGGTGCCCTCAGTGTGAGTMGGAGTTTGAATAGTTGTTTGTTTTTTGATGGACTGAAGACCTGTCCAGGTGTCCCCCACCTGTCATATTGAGACTTTTGGAAAAAGAGACAAGCTCCCCATGAACACAAAAAGAAGTGTGTAAAGAAAATGGATGGCTGGATGACATTTGTTTTGTGTTTTTACTCCAGTTAGAATAAATTTAGGACCTGGTTAAGACCAGATCAGTTTGATTGCATCCTGATATTTAAAAGGGCAGCTGTGGTTGAAGGAGTTGTTTTTCTAATTTGAGAGTTGGCAGTTCAATTCCCTGCTGTTCTGTCACATGTCAAAGTGTCCCTGGGCAAGACACTGAAACCCCACTGCTTCTGGTGTGTGTCCCATCAGTGTATGAAAGTAACTTAAAGCATGGATTAGTGACTGCAGAGTGCAGTGTGACTGTAGAGTGCTGTGTGACTGTAGAGTGCAGTGTGATTGTAGAGTGATGTGTGACTGTAGGGTGCTGAGTGACTGTGGAGTGCAGTGTGACAGTAGAGTGCTGTGATTGTAGAGGGCTGAGTGAAGGTAGAGTGCTGAGTGACTCTAGAGTGCTGTGTGACTGTAGAGTGCTGAGTGACTGTGGAGTGCAGTGGGACTGTAGAGTGCTGTGATTGTAGAGGGCTGAGTGAAGGTAGAGTGATGTGTGACTGTAGAGTGATGAGTGACTGTAGAGTGCAGTGTGACTGTAGAGTACTGTGTGACAGTAGAATGCTGAGTGAATGTAGAGTGCTGAGTGAATGTAGAGTGCAGTGGGACTGTAGAGTGCTGAGTGACTGTAGAGTGCTGTGTGACTGTAGAGTGCAGTGCCAATGTAGAGTGTCGTGTGACTGTAGAGTGCAGTGTGACTGTAGAGTGCAGTGTGATTGTAGAGGGCTGAGTGAATGTAGAGTGATGTGTGACTGTAGAGTTCTGAGTGACTGTAGAGTGATGTGTGACTGTAGAGTGCAGTGTGACTGTAGAGTACTGTGTGACAGTAGAGTGCTGAGTGAATGTAGAGTGCTGAGTGAATGTAGAGTGCAGTGGGACTGTAGAGTGCTGAGTGACTGTGGAGTGCAGTGGGACTGTAGAGTGCTGAGTGACTGTGGAGTGCAGTGGGACTGTAGAGTGCTGA